TTTTATGTCATATGAAGCTGTCAATAACCAGGATAGAACATAATCAAAACCATCTGTACGTACAGTCAAAATGCCTTCAACTCTAGCATCTGAATTTTTGAAAAAAGCATCGAGTGTCGCTTTAACTCGGCGTTGCTTCGAATTAAAACAAATTATCTGTTTAATGCTTCAAGACATTTTTACTAAACATGGAATTTATACCTGAACAAAGTTTTTTAAAGGAAAGCTGTCATTAACATATTTTTTATTTATCAAAATGAATAAACGAAACATTATAGTCAGTTAAATTAGAGAGCGCTTGACAAGTGTCTCTTTATTAAATTCGCCTGAATACACCTACAAACCGAATATTTTATGGTTGATGAGGGGTGGGGAGAGAGACCCAAATAATTATTACGAATAAATTACGCACTCGTTTGTGGCGGATCTAGGAGGTATTCAGAATGTTCGGTAAACTCACTAAACTGAGATAATACCGATTTATTTTTTAGTCGTTTTGGAGTAGCTTGGGAATATTTTCCGGTGGTGGATTATTACCGATAGCCCTCCCCCCCTTTATAGACGCAAACCGCATTCGGCTCTCACTTTGACCACCTCCTGACAAGTCCCGGATCCACTTTAGTTCATGAAAAGCTGCACATAGCTCAGAAAAAGTCTAGCAATGGCCATGTAATATTTTTACATATTTCAACCGAAAGAAATACAGATAAGACATTTTATCAAATAATCATTCTGCGTCAAGCGCTTAAACATAAAGAAAACAGGAAGTTTGACTATTGTTTATGCTGACGGCAGATGTAAATTAAAAACGAGGGCTGGCTTTTTTTGACATAAATAGATGTAAATTAAGTGTGAAAAATGCAATACTGTCTTTAGAATATAAAAAAGACTTTAGCCAGTTAGGCTCAGAAAGTAACGAAGAAATGAAAAACAACGAATCGGCCAATAACAGGACTATAAATTTATTTAGTCCACGGATAAAGAGTAGTTTGCATATGAGCGGTGTCAAAGACAGTTAGGAATTGTATTAGTTTCTCTTTACACTGTAAAGCGATAGGTCGAAAATTTTGCTCTATCTGTCAGCTACTCCGACGCAATTAGATCCAGTCGCGACTTTACCGATAAATAAAAAAAATGAGTTTCCTTCATTTTTCTCTCTGAATAAGCAGCTGGTAAAGTTAAAAAATTTGTCCACTATAGCAAATAGAGAGTGTTGAATTCAGGTAGTATTGAAAAAAGCAGAACCCTAATAATTCAGCGTATAAAAATACCGAATCTGAATCTCGTGCCATTATCCTAGACGAAAAGTGTTATGTGGTGCAATGTATTGTGCAACCATCTATGTGTGCAATCATATGAATACAGACTACTTCTTGGCCGATTCTGAGAACACCTTCGCGAAGTTGAAAGAAATGACTAGGACGCAGCCAAACCAGTCGCTAGACACGTTAATCTCCCTACTTATTCTATAAAGCATATGGCAGTTTCCGGCCTTTCCCTACATTTAGGCAGCTCGGAAAGCCGCAAAACACAAGAACAAAAATTTTTCTTTCAAATCGGCACTCTTAATCCCCACGGTATCAACGAGCGCTTTTCATTCAACTAATTTATTCTTGTTTTCTCGTCACCACATTTCCACCAATAGCGTAGCTCCATTGTCTGCATGTAAACCCACACACAACCCACAACTCCTCCAGTCACTCTGACGATGAGCTAACGTTCGAAACGTAAGCCTTTACACTCTTTACGGTGGCCAATGTATGTTTTCAACTCAGTTGTTTACACTAAATTACCTATATATATATATATATATATACAAACAAATTGAATAAAAAATTAATATGAAATAAGAAATTAAATGATCTCTCAAAAGATTAAAATACATTTTTCTTTTCCCTGTGGTGGATCTGTACAGGGGGATCTCGGGAATCTGGGCATTCCTTGTCGATCGGTTCGTGGCAACTGACTTTAGTGAGAATTTCCATAAGAGCGGAAACTTTATGCACCACTGATTTTTCTTAGAATGGCAGAGAGAACTAAAGTAGATCTGAGCGCGTGATTCGCAATCCGGATGTCTGTGGTCTGACTCTGGCCAGCCTCCCCCTGGGAGCGAGGTTGGAGTCCAACGTCACTCTTAGAACATAGCCTTTCTTTCACCGACTGAAGTTATTAAGAAGCTACGTCATGTAATTTGAGGTCTCTAAAGGGAATCTTCCCTTTGGAATAAGTATTTGTTTGCTGTGGTAGACAAACACTGATGAAAGTTCAAAGATAACAAAAAAAAAACCAGGATAGCCGAAAACAGCGGTGATTGGTGCAGGGTACAATTAAAAAAGTGAAAATTGAGTCTCAATTTTTCAAAACGGAGTAACCGTCAGAGTGATAGGCGTTGAGCTCCTTCTACTTTGTGTAATTAGCATAAACTGTATAGCCTTCTGTCTTTGCCTAACTAAATAAGTGTCCGGGTTATTGTTGACAAGGTTGAGACTTTTAGGCGAATGGAAAACCATCAAGTCAAGTCAACTTAGTATTATTCCTTATAACAAAAACCGCACAACTAAATTCTAGAAGCCTATGCGTGATCGTAAGTAAGCAAAGGCTTTATTCAAAGTGGGTTATATTTAACTGTAGTAAAAACACTGATGAACTCGTGGCACTTATTACACTATAAAGCGAGCTAAAAATCGGTTTTGTATTTAATTCACAAGCTATACACTTAACAAGGTCATAAATTTATTATCATATCGACAAGTATAAATACATACATTAATTGATGACAACCTTAAAATGATTCAAGTAGCGAGGAAGCTTTCTAGTTATTTATAAATTTCTCATACAAAATGCGCTTGAAACTAGCAACTGACACTTTCTTACGCTTGACTCTATAAAACTCCATTGCGTAATTTTCCTAACCGTTAAAGTTCGTCATCCATTAGTTTTCCTTAGGTACTTTTTACAAATCAAGTTTAACATTACCACGGCCGAGGCTTTTAACTTATGCATTGTGAATCGGTATCAGAAACGAACTGTTATTCTCTGAACCGATTGATGATGCCTCGCATTATGTCCATGAGAGTGCGACGAATGGGTCCCATCTTCCAGCAGTATATAACAGGGTCCAAAGACGAGTTAAGGAAAAACAAAGTCATTACATAGAGCCGAGCTTCGTAAAAAGAGATTGGACTTAAAAGGTGAGTTAGGAGTAAAAAAGAGAGAACATAGCAAGGCAAATAACAAATTAAGAACACAATACATACAAAAAATGTCCCAAGAGCCGACTTACGAAGCTTCAAAAAGTTAGATAAGTCGCCATTTTGAACTCCCTGTTGTACCTCTTGGATTTGAAGGCCTTCAATCTGGATTATGTGTCGCTTTAAGACTATATAAATCCTCCAGTAGACAATTACTACCACAATAAGGCAAACAGTCTTAATCACTAGCCCAATGACTTGTGAGATGAAAAGCAATGGATCCCAAAAGACACTAGAAGAAATAATTGCGCTTAACAGCC